AGGGTGAACTGGATGGACCCTGGAAATAGAACTGGTGAACCATGGTTTTGCTACCCATTACTGGTGTGGGCTTCAAAAACAACCTTCAGGAGTGCCTACGTCATCAGCCCATATGAAGAGGAAATAAGGCAGCACACTCATGAGTGGAACCCAAGCTTCCTAACCTTTATATGGGTCCCAGTATGTCCTGACTACTACCTGTTCCTAACCCATCCCACATCCCACGTATCTCTCCTTCTCACCCGCGATATACCAGCAATACTGATTTTACATCTGGTCCTTTCCATGCCAAGCTCTTTCCAGCCTCAGGGATTTTACCCTTGCTCTTCTCCCTGCCTGGAACAACACCCTTTCTTAAATTATCCTTGGCTGGCTCCTCCTCTACCTGTAGGTCTCCATTCAAATGTTGACTTCCTCAGAGAGGGCTTCACCTCGAAGCCATCCATTCTAAAAGATGAGCTTCTCCTACCGTCAGGAACTATCACCGCCACCAATGACTGTTTATCACATCACCCTACAGATTCCTTTACATCATTTATCAAAACCTGTTATTATCTTGTTCACATATCAGCTTCTTTATCATCCCTCCCTTCCACTAAAACACACACTTCACAAGAACAAGGATAGGCCAGTGCCATTCAGCACTCCATTCCCCAGAGCCTGGAACAGCACTGGGGTACCCGACACATGGAAAGGACCAATACATAAATATTAGCTACTGTTAAATTTTGTATGGTGACTTTGTAGTAACAAGACAATGGAAGGAAAGGACCAAGATCTCTTGGCAAGAAAACTCAGTATTTAGGCTCTCTGCAGAAATACCCCCACAAGCTGGGTGAGAATTAGTTACTGGCTTTGAAAAGGACAAAGACCTCATGCCTTCACCTCCAGGACCCCTCTGGGCAGAAGCCATTCTCTCTCTGAGTAAATCAAAGGAATATCTGAAGAACTCATCTTTCCTTTGGGTACATGGACAGACTCATAGCCTCCAAACACATGCTAATGATACATCCCTGGTCCAGCAGCACCATCAATAACCAAACCACATGACCGGGGCTCTCAACTGGTTTATCACTTGTCAGCTCCAAAGACACTTGCTGAGCTGACAGGGAGAGTCGATCCGGAATGTGACATATAAAAATTGCTATAATTCTAGGTAAAAAATGACTTAGGTGTCTCAGGCTCACGGACTATCTTAATTCATCTGGTTGACTATGCATGATTTTCGGTTGTTAAATCTCAGCCTCTGAACTTCTAAATTTGGTATTTTTGAACTTGACATAATGAATGCCAAAATGTGTTACAAAGATACACCAACCTGCTCTCAAATTTCTCATGCTCTAGTAGAACAGATTCTATTGTAGGGTGCACAATTCAGTACTATTATTTGAACTACTTTATACACAAAAGCTGGGGTGGGCGTGATTTATCACAAAAATGAAAACTTCAGGGCTTTGGGCTCCATTTAGATACAAGGGCTGACATTCAAATTATTTCAGAAATAAATATATTTTTAACATTTTGTTTTATGTTCAGACCGGATTTTCCCATTCATTGTCCATTCAGGCTGCTATAACAGAATACTGAAGAATGGGTGGCTTAAAGAATAAACAGTTATTTCTAACAGTTCTGAAGGCCAGGAAGTTCAAGACCAGGGCACCAACGGAGTTCATGTCAGGCAGGAGGCCACCTCCTGGTCTGCATGTGGCCAACTCCTCATTGTATCCTTACATGGTCGAGAGCAGAGAGAGAGCACGTACATGCATGCAAGCTCTCCAGTTTCTTCTCATAAAGGCATCAGTCCCATCTGTGAGGACTCCACCATCACAACTGAATCACCTCCGTGGCCCCACCCTTATATAGGAGGTTAGGGTTTCAACATACAAATTTTCCCTTGGTGGGGGGATATATTCAGTCTACAACAGCCATGTACTACAACATGGCCATCAGATATCCCAAGCTTATATCCCATTCATTTAGTGACTCGAGGAAAAAGAATCTCTTTCCTGGTTACATGCCCATTGGTAAGCCAGTCCCCATGTCCAGAAGAATGGGAAAGGCTGAATGGACAAGCCTGGGTCATGGGCAGATATCCAGAGCTCGAGAGAGGTGATAGTTCTTTCTGAATAATAGGAACTGTAAGCTGCTGCTCCCCAAACAATTCTGAGATGGGCTCTGTTCCTAGAAGATGGAAGAGTAGTGCTGGCCAGACAGGCAACAAGCATACAAACAGAATTCTGATATAGCAACAGACACATGAAAATATAGTTGGCCACATACTATGAGAACTGCAGCAAAGCAAAATAAAGCAAAACAAAATGGAAAAAAAAAAACTACTCTTCTGTCATTTGTAACAGTAACAGTATGAGGAAGGTATTATTATAATCCTCATTTTGTAACTGAAGAAATCGGTCCAAGGTCCTTCTTTCCTCTGTGGGATTTACCACATGCCAAAGTAACTCTAAAATCTCTTCTCTGCACCAGGCCCACTGTGCACAGTCATCAAAGTGAGCTCATGCACAGTAGTGGCTCCGTTCATATAGGCCTTGAGGTTTATTACAGTATCTCCTGGAGTGGGCACCGCAGATCTGGTCACTTGTGCCTGGAGGTTCTGCATTAACCAAGGAACCAAGGAAAAAGGGGGCAGCCTATGACTGCAGTCATAGGCAGAAACTGGATCCTTCCTACTCTGGGCCTTCCTACTCTGCTAAGAAATCTGGACAGTATTAGTTAACGTTCTCGTGAAAACACACCATTTTATTTCCTGATTTTGTGTAGCCTGCAAGGGTTTAAAATGGATTCTGCCATGCCACTCACTTCTTTGCAATTCTCAAGATAAAGTCACTCGCAAACAACAAAACAGGCATCACTAGGCCAGGTGAGCAGCTGCATTTTTCCAAGTGTGTTATCTGGGTGGGAGATGAAGCCAAAAAGGAAAAGTCGCTAGAGAAACCAGGCCCAGACAATCTGTTTTTTTAGCTCTTTAAGGCTTCTCAGGAGTTTACGGCAACTGAGGCAATGGAGTTCTGTTAGAGAATAAATTGGTTGGGACACAAAGCTCCTTATAGATTATAACCTCCTTCCTTGCCAATTACAAACTTGGCAATCATTTGTTTATTAACCTGATGGCTTGCTGCATTAAGTAGCATCACATATTTATAATGCACCAAGATAAAGCTGGAGCATTCAAAATCACTAACCCCATCTGTCCCTCCTCACGGTGGTCCCGCACTCTAAAGCACTTTTGAAGATAATTCAATAGAACAGGGTTTTTAAAAAGTTTAAAACTTTCTCCTGCATTGCCTCAGGGGAAGGTTCCCTGTTCTGTGTGTGTGAGTGATAAGGTTTAGCCCCTTAAATTCATTCCGAGGAGTGTGTGTTAAAGTCTTTACTTGGAAACGCTATGGCTTAGTCCCAAGTGGCAGTCAACACTGCACTCACCAGTTCCCACTGCTGCACAGAAACGTCAGAAGTGGCAAAGCTAATCCCAATTACAGTCTTCTCCAGTTATCCCTCCTCCCCATACTTCCTACCTTTCTCTTTAAGGCGTAACTACCACCTCCACAAACATGTCTCCACACCTAGGTTCTTCAGTTCCAATCTATTTCCTCTCTTAGCGTCCCCATTTCCAGTTACCTTCTAGAGACCTAGAGACCTAATAGCCAACAGAATCCTAAATGCAACCTCTGGAGGATGAAGCGTTTGTTATTCCAAGAAACAAAACAGCCGTGCTAATAAGCCACACTGTTTTGAAAATGGCACTGCCCATCTCAGAGTTTTGTAGACTCAAAATCTTGGAATGACCATGTGTATCAGACATGGGGGATATGCCCCAGCATCTCCCCTCACCTTTATATGCTGGCCTGATTTTTAATATGTGAGTGTCCAACACCTGGACACTAAGGGACATTTGACGATGTCTGGGGAGAGTGTTGGTTGACGCAATTGGGAAAGGGTGCTAATGGCCAGGGCTGTTGCTAAACACCCTAAGGTAGACAGGATGGACCCACCACAAGATAAGGGCCCAACACAAACTGTCAACAGTGCTGAGTGTGAGAGATTCCCAGTCTGGAGATTAGAGTTTAAAGGAGTTTGCTAAGAGACAGGAACAGGGAGATTAGCAGTAGCCAGATCATGAAGATCCTCGGGGGACGCTAGGACATTAGCCAGGGAGACAGTTACTATTGAAAAACAGGGAAGTGGTAGGGTCAGAGTTGTATGTGAAGAAGAAAAGATTATCCTGGGCTCCAAGCAGAATATGGGTTGGAGAAAGGCAAGACAGAGAGAGAATATGAGAGTAGTGAGGCAGAGATCGCACAGTCCAACTGCAAAATGGTGTCCTGGACTAAGGAAGTGGATGGAGGAGTTGGAGAGAAGGGGGCACATTTTTTGGAGATCTCGAAAGGATAGAAGGATATTTCTTTCAATTTTTTTTTAAGATTTTGTTTATTTATTTATTTATTTATTTATTTGAGAGAAAGAGAGATTTTTTATATTATATTCATATATTTATTATAACTAAATAAGTATGATTTAGTTATCTATTTAGGGAAAAGAGAGAGAGAGAGAGGGAGAACATACAGGGTGAGTGAGAAGAAGAAGTAGACTCCCTGTGGAGCAGACAGCCAGATGGATGCGGGACTTGATCCCAGGACTCCAGGATCATGACCTAAGCCGAAAGCAGATGCCCAACCAACTGAGCCACTCAGGTACCCCCCACTTGGGAACTATTTTGAGACCCAGAAGGTTACAATATTCTATAGACTGGGTGTTGGCACATAATTGTTCATAGCACTGTTCCATTTTATTCTTTATCCTCATTGTACGTAGAAACAGCCTCTGGTGTCAAATAATGGTGATGGTTACTCTTCACTGAGTGTGTCCCTATCCCAAGCACATCATTAATTCATTTGAGGCTAAGATCTATCTTCCCTTGTGGAACTTTATAATCTAGCGTGTGTGAGTGAGAGAGAGACAGACAGACAGACAGACAGAGAAAGAGAGGCAGAGAGAAAGAAAGGCAGAGAGAGGGAACAAAATCACTAAGACATGTTATGTAATGCTAAATGGTACAGCTAAGAAGCAAAGACGGGGGATGAGAAATGTAGGGAAGTATACTTTTCAATATGGCAAGCTTCACTGAAACAGTAGTATTTGAGGGGTGCCTGGGTGGCTCAGTGTGTTAAGCCGCTGCCTTCAGCTCAGGTCATGACCTCAGGGTCCTGGGATCGAGTCCTGTGATGGGCTCTCTGCTTGGCAGGGAGCCTGCTTCCCTCTCCCTCTCTCCGCCTGCCTCTTTGCCTACTTGTGATCTCTATCAAATAAATAAAATCTTAAAAAAAAAAAGAGTAGTATTTGAGTTAAGACCTAAGTTGGGAGGAAGGTTGAAGACATAGAAGTCACTGGAAGAGGTTGCTCCAGGCAGAGGAAACACACAATGCAAAATCTCCAAGGAGAACCAAGACTGGAGCAAAGAGGCCAGGATGGCAGGACTGGGGTCAGCGAGGAGAGAAGTAACAAGAGACAAGGTAAGAACATGGGCAGGGACTGGTGTGTGGGAACCTTGTGAGAAATGGCAAAGACAATGGCTTCTATTCTCAGGGAGACTCAGGAAGTCATAGGGGGAGAGGAGTACCACCCTGGAAGTGGAAGTAGGGGGCTACATCAATGATCCAGGCAAGAGATGGTGGGACCTAAGCCAGGGTGACTGTCACAGTGGGAAGCAGCACATTTATGGATATGCTGGGACGTCAACTAGTTTTCCTGGGGGAGGCATTATGAGCACCATATTTAAGAAAAAGAGGAATCAATGATTCCAGAGTTCTGCCTGAGCAGTTCCTCCAGTAACCTTTAAAGTAGGTTACATCATCTCATTTGCTGTGGGTATGTCTTGGTTTTGTCCCCTCATGGTCCTTTTGGGGAATGCCCCTGTCCACTGTACAGCCTGGATGGATCTGGCCATCATCACCTCTCCTTTCTTCTGGAAAGGGTATTTCCTAATTTGTTTTTGTTAGATCTGTGAGGGAAGATGGTCTCTCATCTTCCGAAGTCACAAACTTAAGAGCCACACAGGTTTGGGGTCTCCACAGGCCACTTTTCATCATCTAACCAACCATGGAAGAGCAAGTAAAGTCTAAACATGGGAATTCTGAAAGCAACGTCTGGGTTTCTAGATCTAGTATACTTGAAACAAATGGTAAAAAACAAACAAACAAACAAACAAAAAGAAACAAATGGTCTTTTCTTGATGAAGATAATCTGAATCTGTTTTCCTCTTTTGCAACTGGAAATATCCTGATAACGTGTGAGCTAGATTTGTACCATTCAATATGGTAGCCTCACCACATGAGGTGGCTGCTGAGTACTTGGACTGTGTCAAGTCTGAAGGGAAATTGCTACAGGTGCAAAATACCCAATGGGTTTCAAAGAATTACTATTAAAAATGGAATGTAAGATATATTTTTATATTGACAATAGGCTGAATGGATAACACTTTGGATATAATGAATTAGATGTAATATATTTAATTAACTTCACCTATTTCTTGCTGTTTTTTAAATTTTTTTAAAAGATTTTATTTATTAATTTGACAGAGAAAGAGAGAGAGCCCAGGCACAGGCAGGGGGAACGGCAGGCAGAAGGAGAGGGACAAGCAGGCTTCCCACCAGGCAGGGACCCCGATGCAGGGCTCGATCCCAAGACCCTGGGTTCACGACCTGAGCCGAAGGCAGAAGCTTAATCAACTGAGCTGCCCAGGTACCCCATATTTCTATTTCTTTTAATGTGGCGATTAGAAAAACCAAGATGACATATGCAGCTTGCATCATGTTTCAGTGGGCAGTGCTGTTATAGATGAAAACTGGGGTTTGTGAGATTTTTGAACCCTAGTCATTCCAAGTCAAAACTCATTGTATTGTTGCTGTGGTTGCCCTTCCCCATACCCTACCATTAGGAAAACCACCTCTTGTGACACTGTGCCATCTCTCAAAGGGTGAGCAGCATATTTCAGACCAGTAGGTTGCCTGTATCTCGTTTCACGTTGAGCACAGGTGGCTGTACCGTCTGCCAACTCACAAAATTGCCAAGTGACTCACCTTAAAGGGCCCCCTCAGAACAGCAATCCATCTGGCCAGTAGCCCCGGGCCATTCCCTCTCCAGTCTCCCCTTGCCTTCGGGCTGTGCACCAGCCAGGATTCTGATCTGGCCTGTGAGCTCCCTGCCTCAGAGATATTTGCCGCACTATCTCCAGGGCTGAGCGGAGTTAGAGAGAATCAAACCCACACTTAAGGTACCAGGGAACAGTTCCACTGAAACCCACAACACTATAATTACCATAAACCCTTCAGCACCACCAGCTCTGAGACGTTAAAGAAATTAAATCAATGGGCATGTATCGAATCAAGAGCAATCTTATGGGAAATTCATGTAAATGCACAATCTTACATTGGAAATGAGTTTTAAGATTAATATCCTTCGCAAATGGAAAAGTATAAAGAAGTATATAGGAGAACATGCTGTTGCAACAATAGGTCAACCTTTCTTTTTACGAGCTGCCAGTTATATTGTATGAAGAACTCATGAAGCTTAACGTTCTCGGTATTTTTCTTAAAACTCTGTAATGCAAATTCTTCAGGAGAATAACAAGTGATGCATGCTTGAAATTTATTTTTAAATCAAGAGCAAAACGAAACCCTTTAATTAATCTCAGAGAATTTAGCTCTTTCCCTTTCAGATCTGTCTTTTGCACAGTTAGATGCTTAAAATAATTGCATCCGCTCGTGTGAAACTATAGCACCAATTCAGTGGGTTTATACTTGTGCAACCTTTTAAAAACAGGCCTTAAAACATTCATCTGTTGAACCAATTTGCCAGCTTTCAATAAAGCATCTTTAAGATACTTTCTGTTACATTTATATGACATAAGCTATATTATTTTAATAATCTGTGCTTGAGATATATGGTGATGAGGGAATTATCGCTCACCTGGGGAGATGGTGTAATTAGAAAAGAGGCACAGTCGGGAAATAAAAATGATTAAAAAAAAAAAACTTGCTGAAATTAACCAGCCACTGCTACTGGGATGCTATGATGTTGGCTTAAGTTGTTGGGAAAGCATTGGAGTGAGAAGCAGAGAAGAGGGAAACCAAGCGAACTTGTGGTGCCTGAAATAATTACAATTTCTTACCCGTCATTTCTCAAGGCTCCCAGGGAGCAAGGATGCACACCCAGCCAGGGCAGACAAATGAACACTTTCCCCACAGCCGGGCAAGGGGGCTGCCCGTTTGGAGCTAATGTGCTGGGGCAAGGAGATGAGGGCAGGTATAATTACACTAATGATTTATTGAATGTTTGATTAATTGGAAATTAAGCGAATGCATAGTGGCAGAATTGTCATAGCAAATCGCTCAGCTGTTGGCTTAAAATGTGTTCTATTTCCCTCCAGTAAAGCAATTAAGAGAATCTTAAATCACTGAATGAAAAAAATATTGGTATGGAATTGTCTAACAGAGTGGGGGGAGGAAAATGGCAAAAAGAGTATAAGGACCCTTGCTGGGTGGTGTTGGAGAAGGGGATATTTTTCACCGGAATGTTAGCTGGAAAACCATATCCTCTCAGAAGTTAATCCTCACCCCATCTAAGAAGAGAGAGAAAAGAAAATAGATTATGGCCTTAAGGTAGCTGGGAGGACAGTGGTTTTGCTCTCAGGATCTCTGCTATCACATACGAGGACTTTGGGCAAGATAAAAAGTGTGACCCTTTAGGAGGGACCCATCCCCGAGAGAGCAGGACTCAGTAAGAGAAGCCAGAGCTGGTCTTCTGCCCCACTGGCCTGTTGAGCCAAGTGACTGTGGGAGCGACCAAATGAGAAATTCACTGTGGCCTTTCCTACTGCCATGCGAGAGGGAATCAAGAGGAGGGGGGAAAAGGGCTTCATTCTGGAGCAAGGGTTTTGAGACAGGACCTCAGACCATCCTCCACAGGATTATTATTCCCAGATTTGACTTTGCTGCACAGCTGCCTTCTCCCAGCCACTCTTCACCCATTCCCACCCTCTTCTCCCTGGCCCCTCTCTCTCAGAGCAACAAGCTAAGAGCTACAAGTTTACTGTTTTCAGTGTGGTCCCTTGAGCTTGGGGAAGGAAAAGGCTGATGCAAATTGAATACATAAATAAGAATTTAATAAACTTTCTCTTCTGGTCTCCTGCTTCACCAATAAAGTTGCAGAATCCAGAATTAAAAATGTACTTCAGAGCAGAAACAAAGAGCAGGGAGAGTTTCACGTGCCTTCTGGGTGGGTTTGTAAATGCGCATGACCTTCTGGAGACAGCAGTTCATCAGACTAAGTCCAAAATCTTAAAATATATATGCCTTTTGACATCTGACTCACTATGGATTCATTTTAGGAAAATACTGGACACACTCAAAAAGGTATATTTTAAGGATGTTCACTGCAGTGATGTTTACAATAGCAAAACAAAATTTTTTAAAAAGGAAAAGTTATCTAAATGCACAATAGCATTTTAACAAGTATAGTTTAAGGAAAATCACGGCAAGGGCCCTTATCTTGTGATTAGGGAAGAAACTGTTTTTCTCCTAAATAAAGCTTATTAACATTTAAAATGAAACTTCCATACAGGAATGTTGCATGGTACCGGGGTTGGGTGGAGGGTAGGACGGAGAGAAAGAAAATGCATATTGTCTCAGCTTAATTCTCAGAGCACAGATCAGCAGATCCCAAACTTCAGAGAAGGACAGTTTGGGAAAACCTGGCATAGAACTAATTCAAAACCTGTTGCTAAGATCGAACAACATATTAACAAATTAGCATGCACACATGATCTCAATTTTGCAAACAGATATCACATCTGAATAAACAAGTATATGTGGGTAGGGTGTGTGTGTGTGTGTGTGTGTGCGCACGCGCGTGTGTATGTGTGTGTATGCATGTAACTGGAAAGGCAGCATGCCAAAATGTTAATAGTAGTTGTATCTCAGTAGAAGGATGGTTAGATGCAGTTGTTTTCTCATTGTTCTATGTGTCTTTCTTTATTTTTTAGTAACAATAACATACTTTTGTAA